CAAAGACAAAACTTCACATCGAGGAACCAAAAAACGAACCCAAAGCTCCCAGCAGAGGAAGACGACGAGCAGGCAACTCAGTAGGAGTCAAGATGGAACAGAACAGAACATTAATAAAAATGGCAGCAAACAAGACCAGACCCACAACCACACTGAATGTAAAGGGCCTCAACTCCCAGTTAGAAGACCTCGGTCAGCAGCATGAACCAAAAAGACAAGATCCCATCTTATAGCAAAGACCCACTGCCTGAGAGAGAGGAGGGACAGGAGGAAGAGGGCCTTGCACACAAGAGGAGTCTGCAAACCAGCCAGGAGAGCCCCTCCCACCTCCGACGCAGCAGAGTGCAAGACAGAGAAGACCCCCGCATCCCGGCAAAGGGGACACACAACAAGACCACATGACGGCAGTGAACACCTGTGCTCCAAATGTCACGGCACCCACTTACCCGGAAAACACTTGTTGACACGAATCCCAGACACTGGGTGCTTTCCAAGCCCTGATCACCAATAGACAGGTCACCAAACACAGAATCGTCACCGATATTTTCAACCTAAATAATGCTGTGAATCAAAGAGGCCTAAAAGTTATGTACAGAAGATTTCACTCCAAAACTTCTGGACTCACTATCTTCTCAGCAGCTCATGGAACTGTTTCCAAAATCAACCACATTCCAGGTTGCAATGTAGGTCTCACAAATACAAAAAATATATATGATCCTCTGCATCCTATTGGGTCGTAATGGAATGAAACTCAAGATCCACAGCAAGAAAAATAACAGAAAACACATACCCACGTGGAGACTGAACAATACTATTTTAAAGGAAGAATGGATCATAGAAGAAATAAGAGAAAATTCTAGAAACAAAGAAGAACCGAGACAGAACCTATCAAAGTCTCCAGGACAGTGTGAAAGCAGCTCTCAGAGGACAGTTCACAGCGCTGAGTGTCTCCGTTAAAAAACAGATTCCAAATAAATAAGTGATGCTCCATCTTCAGGCCTCAGAAAAGAAAGACCCAACGGATTCCAAAAGCAGTAGAGACAGGAGATAATAAAGATCAGAGCTGAAATTGATGAAGTTGAGACTTAAGGAAAAGCAACACAGAGGATCAATGCAAAAAAAGAGTTGGTTTTTCAAAAAGATAAATAAGATTGATGAATCCTTGGCCAAACTAACCAAAGGAGGGAGAGAGAGAAGATCCCCCAAAATAAAATCAGATGTGAAAAAGGAGATATCACCAGAGATGCTTCTGAAATCTAGAGGAACATTAGAAACTATTTTGAAAATTTATACTCCAATAACCTGGAGAATCTAGAACGTAGTGACAGATTTCTAGACACGTATGACCTGCCCGGATTGAACCAGGAAGATACAGGAAGCCTAAGCAGACAAGGAAAGTAATGAATTGAAACAGCAATTGAAAGACTTCCAACAGAGAAAAGCCAGGACCCGATGGCTTCTCCGCTGAGTTCTGCCAGAACTTAAAGAAGAACTAACCCAGGTCTATCTCAAATTGTTTCATGGAATTGAAAGGGAGCAACAATACCAAAATGTTCTATGAAGCCAGTGTAGACCTCATACCCAGATCAGAAATGACAGACCAAGGAAAGAAACTCTAGACAATATCCCTGGTGAAGATGTACCCAGATAGTGGAAAACTGCATCCAAAATGCATCAAGACTCAGCACACCTTTCCAACCCCGGCAGTGATCCACCACGTCAACTGAGTTAAGAACAAGGACCTCAGTGGTACAGAAAAGGCCCTGACAAGCCCCAACACACTCATGTTAAAAACACTGAAGAGACGAGACAGACCCGACCTTCCCCCTATGAGGACGACCTAGGGCAGCTCAAGCCAACATCAGACTGAATGGAGAAAGACCAGACCATTCTTTTTGGTAAAATCAGGAACAAGACAAGGCTGTCCAGTTTTACTGCTCCTACTGAACACAGTTCTTGAAACTCTACCATCAGGCAAGAGAGGGAAATTACAGGAGTACAAGCAGGAAAGGAAGTCAAACTGTCTGTTCACTGATGACATGACCCATATCCAGAACCTTCTAGAGCATCTACATGGTTTAGCAAGCAGCAGGCTACTAGAGAGCACTCACAGACGGAGCTCTCCTTACCCCACAGCAATTCTGCTGAGAAAGGAAAACCGTCCCATTCACAAAAACCTCAGGGAAAAGGGCATTGACCTAACCAAGGAGGTGAAAGAACTGTACAATGAAAATTATAAAACACCCAAGAAAGAAACCAAAGAAGCCCTCAGAGGATGGGAACACCTCCCATGTCCTTGGATAGGCAGGATTAATGTGAAATTAGGACCTAGATTAGGTTTATAAGAGACAAAGCTAAACCAAGAACCAAAATGATGTGATTTCTCCCCAGCATTCTCTATGCCACCCCACATGTTTGTTCTAAATGGAATTGAAAGTTAAAACCTACCCTTGTATTTACTATAATAAATGGGTTTTACACGTGCAGGATAAAGCCAGTTTGGATTGCATTATGATTTTTATTTTGTAAATTGATGCATTTATATGCAAATAATGTTTTAAATATTTTTCTGTTCATAAACTTAAAAAAATGAACCCAACTACTCTCATAACTATCACGCTAGAATAAAAAATAAAAAACGATTGATAACGAAAAGGCCCAGATGTAAAATGGTTGCAATCTTGGAAAACAGTGGGAGGTCACTCACCTGGTGTCAAGGCTCATGAAACAGCAGAGACACTCAAGACCCCGCGGCATCCGTCAGGACGGGCACGCAGGTCCACTGTGCACGGGAGAACCTGGGACACCGGCCAGGGGAGAGTGACCACCTCTGAACACACAGTGCTACAGCAACTGGACGGGTCAGGAGCTGGACCTGAGCCTGGAGCCTCGTGTGGAGAACTGGGAGTGGACGCCGGGTGGGAGAGAAGACATGAGCTGAAGTGCGTGGAAGACAGGACAGAACCTTGGGAGCTGGGGCCAGACGCCGTTCTTCGCTGGACACCCAAGGCATCATCCGCAAAAGGAAAACCCCGCAAACTGGGCCTCATCAGAATGAAGCTCTTGTGTGGAGGGGACAAGGCCACAGACGGGAGGAAGGGGGAGCCACACAGGACCCAACAAGGCTGAAACCAAACCACTGGCGGAAGCTCCCGGAAGGCGCCTGGCTGAGCAGGGGGCACGGCCAGCAGCGCGTGAAGGGCGGCACCGTGAGCCAGCAAGGAGGTGCACGTCAACCACGTGCAGGCGCGGCCTTGGCGTCGTCCCTGAACGCCCTGTCCCCCCCATCCTGGCCAGTCAAGGGGGCAGAGAGAGGCCTGGGCAGAGGGTGTGGACACAGCACCTGGAGGTTGCTGCTCTCTGGCACACGGGGAACGAGGGCAGCCCTGTTCTCTGTGGGAAGCGCCTTTCTTGCCCCTGAGCTGGGACAGCTGCTCTGGGACGCTGGGCAGAGCAGCACACTAAGCCACAACAGTGACAGCCTCGGTACAGGACCCTGTCTGTGTGGGGACAGGCGCAGGACAGAGGGCACCCTGCAAAGGGCACGCGTCACTGGTCCAGTGGCCACCACAGGACAGAACACCATGAGGGACGAGGTGCTGCTGTCACTCGTGGCCACTGAGCCCTTCTCGGGCAGTCCTGCTCTCTGGTCAGCGTCCCCAGCAAGCCCCGGGCCCCGTGCTGTCTCCGGGCACTTTCCTCCGTCTGTCTGCAGCCTGCCCCAACCTGGCACAGGTGGCTGGGAGAGACACCCTCAACCCCGGGGGAATGGCTAAAACAAATGGGTAACAACAAAAGCACACAAGAGGGTGCACAGGAAACAGCCCCCTCCCCCTGCGGTGGGACGTGAAAGGTGAGGGACTGGACGTGTGATACGCTGGGACCAGGGGACGCACCTGGGCATTGACCCCAGAGCAGCCGAAGCCTTTACACACACGTTCAGAGCAGCTTTACCTAAAATAACCCCGACGGGAAGAACCCAACGCCCTTCAATGGGCAAATGGCCAAACCAATTGCAGAACACACCCCACTGACTACCCACAATCAAACGAATCGGCTTTTCACGTGGGCAACATTCCAGTGGATCTGGAGGCATTCTGTTGTGTTGAGGAAGGCAGCCTCAGAAGATGCGCGGGGACAGTTCCAGGCACAGCATCCTGGTAGGAACCGCGGGCGACCAGGAACGTCAGCTGCTGCTGAGTCAGGGGAAGGGACAGGTGGCCCCTCTACACAATGGCCGTGTGGTGTACACACAAACCCACGTGCACACGCGTGCTCTGTGGTGGGACCTGAAGCGTCCACCAGGCAGGTGCCAGCAGGCAAGGCCTTGTCATGGGGGACCCAGGAAGGTCCTGGGGCCTCTTGTATTTCTGACAACCACACGGGGATCTCTAGCTACCTCAAAACCAAACAGTTATTTTTTGCCTGAGATCCACCAACATTCCCAAGGAACATCCGAGGCAGTCTTGCCCAGCGTGCCCAGAAAACAGTGGGAAAGAACCACAGACCCCCCACTTCCAGCGGCTGGCGTGACCTGGAGTGAGACACACCAGGGGAGGCCCACAGGACAAAGCAAACAGATGGGCCACCTCATGGCCACCCGGGGAGCAAAAGCCCTAAGTGAAATATTGGCTCAGCAAATCCAGCAGGTGACACAAGCTGATGCCCGGGACAGTAGGGCTCCTGAGCTGGACAGGGCAGAGAGGCCCGGCTCACCACAGGGTGGTGGCTGGCAGGCAATTACTTCAGCGTGAGCAGGGTGGCCACAAATCCACGGTACTTTATTCACAGCTGTGTGCATTTGATGGCTCTCCACATTACAGGCCAAAAAGGGGCAGCAGGTTCCACTTCTGCCTTGGACCTTCTCTGAATAGTGGTCACAGCTCTTCTGCTCAGAGGAGAGCCAGGGATCTTACTCTCTGTCGCTCGGCCTCTTCCCCCGGCCTCCGAGTGACTGACAGGCGGTGCCCTAAGGGCTCTGGCCCCGGCTCCATCCACCCTCAGACCACCCAGTGGTGGTCATCGACTCTCTGAGGCTCCGGGGAGGCAAAGGGGTTGAGCCAGTCCAGGGAGACACGGTGGCCAAACACGGCCTTCAAGCTGGACCACGGGGACCCTTTGCGTGGCAGCCCGCGGTCCCTCTGCAGCCGCTGGATGAGGGTCCTGTCGGTGCAGATGGAGTACATTTGCATGGCGAACATCGTGGAGTTGAGGAGGAACGCTATCAAGGCCACCAGGAAGAGGTACATGAGGGAGCGGCGGGGGGACACGGTGCTGTGCCTGTCCCACTCGCCCCGCGCGTGGCTGCGCATGACAGGGACGCCGAGCAGCAGCAGCAGGTGCAGCGAGGCCAGCCCCATGTACAGCGTGAAGAGCACGAAGTACTTCTGGTTGTCCTCGCCCACGCAGTTGTTGACCCAGGTGCAGTGGTGGTCCATCTTGCGGACGCAGCGCCCGCACACGCAGCAGTGGTGCGCGCGCGGCGGCTTGGCGCTGCAGCACCGGAGGCAGCGGGCCTCGGGGGCGCTGCCCGGCGCGCGGCCCAGGGGCACGGCGCCGGGGTCGGTGAGCATGGCCCGCGCGGCCTGCAGGTGCAGCAGCAAGCCGTTGGCCAGGCTGTAGGCCAGGCTGTAGGCCAGGTCCCGCGCAGGCAGGAACAGCTCGCGGGTGGTCACCCACGCGGTGCCGAAGGTCAGCACCCAGGTGCTCACGGCGAACACGATGCCCAGGATGTCCCACACGAACCAGGGCCGGCGCAAGGGGCCCAGCCTCGGGCACAAGGGGCCCAGCCTCGGGCGCACGGGCTGCAGGGTGCGGAGTGGCCCCAGCTGGGGCTTCTGGTCAAGCGTGTGAGGCGCGGGGACCGGGGCGGGAGCCATGGGCGCCCCGAGCAGGCTGTGGCACGGTGTCCTGGTGCCAGGCCTGGGCCCTGCGTGGTGCCACTAGCGGGGACAGGGTCCCTGTGCCTCCTCGCGCCTCTGCCCGGTGACTGGTGTCCCGCCTGGGCCCGTCTCCCGCTGGGGCACGTTGGGAGGCCCCTCCCGCGTTCTAGAATGGGCCCTTAGGGCTTTGTGAACTCAGAAAGGAGGCCCCGGTGCTGGCCACGGAACACCCCGAGGTGTCCCCTGGGGCAAGGCCGGCCCTGGCCCGTAGAGACGGGAGGGAGGAGCCACTACGCTGGTCTCGGCTGTCAGAAGGGGACACTGAGACAAAGGGAAGTCACTGCAGGTGGCGGTGAGTGACCAGGTGAGGAGTCCACCTCTGGCTCTCATCCAGAGCCTGGCCTTTGCCTTGCTCTGTGCTGGTCTGGAGGGGCCACCAGGCTGAGGTCTCAGGACGGTGACAGCAGACACACCCCAAACAGCAGCAGCGGTTGATGAGTGGAGTCAGGGCGTGGCCATATCTGCATTCTGAAAGGACCAGGCCTGATCTAAGAAGCAGGTCCTCAGTGGACACCATGGCATGGAGCCCAGTCCCCAAACACCTATGGCACAAGAGCAGGAAGAGGTGACCTATCCTCAGGGAAGAGTGAGAGGAGTGGAGAGGTGTGAATGTCACCCTGTGTGTAGACATGATGATGTTGCTGCTGGTATAGAGAAGTCATTGGCAGGTTGCATTAATGGGAGAATAGCATGAAGAATCAGGGAGGGGACAGTAGCCTGCATTTGCATCACCTTGGGAAATGTGTGCCCAGAGTGGCCCAGCAGCAGTCAGATGAGGAATCTGGGGGAGTGGGATGGGAGAGATAATGAGGAGGGGGACCCTGCTCCAGTCTCTGTTGAGTGAGCTGTGCAATGGTGAGGGGCAGGGCTCTGCTGGGGGTGGGTGGCAGTGTGCAGGATGCTGGCAGGTGTGGGTGAGGGTCTGCAGGAGGAGCTCGTCACAGGACTCGTCCACACAAGGCCACCGTGCCCCCCCCCGCCCCCGTGTCCTTTTAAACAGTTGGGCCGCAGGGATGGCTGGGGACAGGGTTTGTGACACAGCCACCTCCAGTGTGAAGTTCAGTGTCCTCGTGGTTCGCACGGGTCCCTGGGACCTGCAGCACCTCTGAACTAGTCACCCGCTTCCCTGCAGCTCGTGAAATGGCCTCCCGCTTCTGGGCAAGGGGCCGTGGGCGGAGGGGTCCAGTGCCTGAGGCTCATTCTGCGTGTCCAGGCCACCTGCAGCCTCTGACCGGTTTCCTGCTCCTGGAGCACACCGGTTCCCCCGGAGCCCCCTGGATTCCCCTAGAACACAACAGATCCCCCAGAGCACCCCAGAGCTCCTAGAACACACTGGATCCCCCCTGGAACACACCGGATCCCTCAGAGCACCCTGGAGCCCCCTAGAACACAAGATCCCCCGGAGTACCCCACAGCCCTCTGGAACACACCGGAGCCCCCTGAGCCCCCTGGAGCCCCCTAGAACACACTGGAGCCCCCCTGGAACACACCGGAGCCCCTAGAACACACTGGAGCCCCCCTGGAACACACCAGAGCCCCTAGAACACACCAGAGCCCCTGGAGCACCCCGGAGTCCCCTAGAACACACCGGAGCCCCCCTGGAACACACCAGATCCCCTGGAGCACCCTGGAGCCCCCTAGAACACACCGGAGCCCCCCTGGAACACACCAGATCCCTCGGAGCCCCCCAGAGCCCCCTAGAACACACTGGAGCCCCCCTGGAACACACCGGAGCCCCCTAGAACACACCAGAGCCCCTAGAACACACCGGAGCCTCTGGAACACACCGGATCCCCCAGAGACCCCCGGAGCCCCCTAGAACACACCGGAGCCCCCCTGGAACACACCGGATCCCTCGGAGCCCCCCGGAGCCCCCTAGAACACACCGGAGCCCCCAGAACACACCAGAGCCCCTAGAACACACCGGAGCCCCCCTGGAACACACCAGATCCCTCAGAGCCCCCCAGAGCCCCCTAGAACACACCGGAGCCCCTAGAACACACCAGAGCCCCTAGAACACACTGGAGCCTCTGGAACACACCAGATCCCCCAGAGCCCCCCGGAGCCCCCTAGAACACACCGGAGCCCCCTAGAACACACCGGAGCCCCCTAGAACACACTGGAGCCCCCTAGAACACACTGGAGCCCCCTAGAACACACCGGAGCCTCTGGAACACACCAGATCCCCCAGAGCCCCCCGGAGCCCCTAGAACACCCCGGAGCCCAGCTTGGCCAGCCCCTCGCACTCACCCCCTGCTGACCAAACCCAGCGTTCTGAGCTCTAAGTCCTGAGAGACATCCATTCGTCCAGGCTCCCCAGGCCTAGTGGCTCCAGGCGGGGACCTGGGGGCCCGACCTCCATCCTGCACAGATCTCCGGGCTCCTTGGTGGGGCTCTCTGCTGCTCATCCCTGGACACCCAGGGTTCCCCTCTGAGCCTCTGTCCCGACTGCCCTCCCCCAGCAGTGGCACCTGGGTGCGGTGGCTGCCTGGCCCAGCTGTGAGGGAGCCCAGTGGCCCTGCCCAGTGTGGGGTGCCCACGTGTCACTTCCTGGGTGCTGCTGCTCCAGGGCCACAGCAGGGCTCTGTCCTGTGACTGCGATGGACACTCCAGGAGGCCTCCTGCCTGTGGCCCTGAGGAGCTCCTGGTGGCCCTGGTGCTCTGGGCAGCCCCGGGGGGTGGGCTCTGGGTGGGCTTGGGTCAGCTGGTACCGAGGCCCGTGGGGAGGCTGGGTGCCTGGGGAGGGCGGGACAGCGGGTGGGGCAGGCGACCCCTTGTGCTCGGGAGGACCCTGGGAGCTCACCTCCAGTCCAGTCTCTCTGTCCCCTGCCCACATGTTCCCATCTGGGATGGGAGTGCCATGTAGCTGGGCTGTGGACACATGCTGCACCTGTCACCTGCACTGTGTCCAGGTGGGAGGGCCCAGGAAGCTGGCCGGCGAGAAACCGTGGCTTCAGGTCCACGGCCTGTGCTCAGGATCCAGCTTTGTCCAGCCCCACCCGCCCCGAGGCGCTGGCTCTGGCCCGGCCTGTCTGCCTGTCCCGAGGCCCTGCTTCTGTCCCTGCTCCTACCCAGGTGAGGGCATTGTCCCCTGGTCCCGGGATCCCTTCCTGGAGGAGGACCTGCCCCTCAGCCCAGCCCTGGGTGGTCTTCAGTGGCCACATGAAGGTGGCTGGATGCAGCCGTGCCTGGAGCCAGTTCTGATTATTAGTTTTACATCTTTTATTATTATTTTACTATTTTATTATTAGTTCTACATCCTCAGGAAATGTTGACTTTTACCACATAACTTTTGTGGCTCTTAAAGGACAGAGTGACTCTCTTCAGACCTTAGCTGTGTCCTCCTGGCACCTCTTGGATCTGCTTCCTCGGTGTGGCACTACCCTTGAATCCAGATGCCAGCTGCTCGTCCACGGCATGTCTCAAGTGTGGCATGACAGCAGACCGCTGGCCTTCGGTGGCTCCCTGGCCTGCGGCTTCCCTTTGTGCTCTGCAAGGTCGAGGGAAGTCCTTGCGCTTCCTGGGCTTTGGGCAGCAACGGCTCTGCTCGGTGCCCAGTGCTCGGCCCCAGAGCTCCTCTGCTGAGGGAGGTCTGCTGACCTCTGCATGGGCTCCGGGCTTCCTGCATCTGCGCCCTGGGGAGTCCCTCTTTCTGGGCAGCTGGGCACAGCTCCAACTTCCAGCTGCCCGCCTGCCTGTGGCCAGGTGTCCTCAGTTCCAGGTGGACGCTGCTGGGAAGGCTGCGTGGAGTCCGTGGCTGCCCAGAAGGACGCAGACGTCTCTTGGAGCTGGGTTCTACCCGGGGGGTCGGGTCCCCCTGGGCGTCAGGGGTTCTGCTAGTGGACAGCCTTCCTCAGAGAGCTGGACTGTCCCAGGGCTCAAGTCCTCAGAGGGCCTCTCCCTGCATTTCTGTCCTTGGAATTCTGGGACCTCCCCGAACCCCTCTTGCCGCTGACCCATGGTCGTGGCTTTACCCTGGGCCCCTGGGACCTCAGCCACGCTCTCTGGGTTCCATGCCCAGAAAGCTCCTCTTCTTATTTTTGGAGAACTTATTACCTAAGAATTTGACTTCCTTTTTAAGTAGAGAATTATTCATGCATGTGTTTTTAAATTGCATGAGGTTGGATATTTTTAAACATGATTTCTGTTATTTTTTTCTGGTGTTTTTCAGGCCTTAAGACTCAAGAGTTTCTGTCTCCTGGATTTATAGTTCTTTTTATTCTGCAGTCTTATTTATGATTAATATTTGCAAATCTTTCATGAGTTTGAGGAAAGTGTGTGCTCTGTCTGTGCATATTTATTAAATCAACCTTATTAATCACATTATTCGTTTTCCTCAGTCTCATCCATTCTGTCCATTTCAATGTTTGAGGACTGACTTGTAGGTTAATTATTTCACTATAATTGCTTTCCTGTCACATTTGAAAATATTTGTCTTTGTCTTGTGTGAGAAGCTCGGTGCTGTCACTAGCACATCCCAGGTTCAGGCCGCAGCCCCACCGTGGGGTCGCCTCGGTCCCTCTAAGCCCATGCCCACCTCCTTCCGTTTGCGATGACCTCCTTGGTTCTGGGGCCTTCATCATGCTATTGCCATGTGCCTGTCCCCAACAGAGTGAGCTGGGATTCTGTTTTGGCACCCAGCCCTCTGGCCATGTACAAGTCCCTGCCTCTGGGGCCCTCCCTCCTGGGCTGGGGCCTGCGACTTCCACTGCTCCGGCTCTCCTGCAGGGTGAGGGTCTAGAGTGTTGGGCGTGGCCCCCTCTGATCTCTGGGGATGGGGTCCTGGCTCCAGCGGTGTCGCCTGCACTCCCAGGCGCCGGCCCGTCTCTCCCTGCTCATTCTGAGTTTGCTCTCCTGCAGGGCTGTACCCAGCTTGTACCCACCATGGACATGGGCGGTCCAGCCTGGGAAGAAACCTCCCAGGGAGGAGGAGGTAG